TATTTTTTAAAAGATTTTTTTAGATAAGTCAATTTAAATTTTAAAATTTTAAATTCTTAGTTTAAATATGGTACTTTGATTTCATCATGATAAAATTGAATTTAAAAATATTTTTATATGTTGAGATTTTTAAATTAAATTTTATAAAAATAAATATTAGTCAAATTTTAAATATTTGATATTTTAAAAATTAATATCAGATAATATTTGATAATTTAAAAAATATTTTTTAAATATTAAATAATTAAAAATACAAAGAGATAGGAAATAAAATAAAATATGTAAGTGAAATAAAAAAAATATAAAGAATTTTAAGTTTTTACTCTTTTGACAAAATTTAAAATTTTACTATTTTAATAAATTTTAAGAATACTTATATTTCAAAATCTTTATAAATTTTTCATTCAAACAAAATAATTCAGCTAAAAAAATTTAAATTTTTTTAAACAAATAAATTATTCCATTATCCAATTTCAAGTAATATTTACAACAGCACAACAAAAGAAAATTGCTTTGTCGCATGCTTTGTTGTTGGTTTGTCAAATAACACATTAAACTTGTTTCATGCTATGTAAATAAATAAATTTTCAAAAAAAAAAATGCTCTGGTGGTTATATTAGCTTGAGTGACATTGTCTTTCATAATAGATATCTATTATAAAATATAAGAAAATATTTAACATTAGCTATATGTGCTACGCTAAGATGTATGTTAAAGTGGAAAAAAAATAATAAAATATTAACTTAAATATGTTTTTCCTCTCTTAAATTTAAGGTAAAATTACTTTTAGTTTTTTAAATTTAAAATTAATTTTTTAAGTTTATGTAATTTTTAAATATTTTATTTTAGTCCTTATACTTAAAATTTGTTTGATAATTTATCGAATACGATCATATAAAATTTATCTATTGATGTTCCTATTAGTGAATATATCACATTATGGTGCATAATTATCTCAATTTATGATTTTTAGATATATTATTTGTGACCTAAGTATAATACCATAATTTTTCGTTAATTATTGTTGTCTTTTAGCCATAATTGTTTATCATGGTGTTCTAAGATGAGGTGTTGAGAAACTTTAGGAGTTAAGAAAATTTTGAGGAGTCTTTCAATGTTTTAGACAGTTTTTTCAGGTATAAGTCCAATTAATTTAACCCTTAGAAGGGGGGAAATATATAAGATTTTTTGTTAAGAATTGAGTCTCACAAGTTAAGTTCTTCAAAAATTTAGAGAGATGTGGTATAAAGAAGCACTGTAGAGTTTGTAAGTCTCTCGTATTCTCTAAATCTTCTCTTGTGAGGGTGATTCCTTTCTTAGGGTCTTGATTTAGTTGTGTTTTTGTTGATTCAGGTCAGTGAATCGTAAATCATACTCGTTGATTAGTGTGAAGTATATAGATTAATGTAAAGTCTCCTCGGAGGAGCTTGAATTTCTTCATCCTTCTTCTCTTCCCTTCCTCATGGAATTTTAGGTAAAGGGGCTAAAAACTTGCTTTAGATGAGTTGCATGTTGTTTGATTGTTATCAAATGGACATGTGTTAATTGATTTATGGATTTTTATTATAGAAGAGTTGGGTTTGGAATGTTTAAAGCATGTTGGAAATGGTTTAGGGTTATTCTACCAAGTTGGTTATTGCATGTTGCAAATTTGGTGTAGAATTACATGCTTGGATTATTCTATTTTTCAGGTGACTTTGAGCCAAATTTATGATTTGCAAGTGCAAAACTCACAGTCATGTCAGGTATGCCTTTAAGACATTGAATGTGATTTCAATTTGAGGTGCTCTGTCTCTCTCACGTCGAGCGCAAGATTGGTGACGACAAGCATGAAGAGAGATAAATACCTTAGGTTGAAACGACATCAAGGGTGGGTTGAATGAAACTGGTTATGAGGTGAGAGATTTGGTTTTGCTTGAATTGGTGTCAAACATCAAAGGAATGATGTCAGGTGTAAGGAGAAAGAATCATTTTTGCCTGATTTGGGATTGAGTGTGAGGCTTTGTTATGCTAGGCCTAGGGGTCTAGGGGTCTATACTTAATCCACATTAGGCATGGGTTAAATGGCATTGGGCGTGGGTGAGACAAAAGACTCCCTACCCCTATGATGTTAGGCACAAGTTACTTTAAAAATTATTGTTATTTGTATGATTAAATGTGATTTTGAATAAGTTAGGTAGATCTATTACATGTTGTATATTGATTAATGATAATTGTTCTATGTATATTGATTTGAGACAATGTATATATATATATATATA